GCCTTCCAAAATAATATTTGAACGAGCATGTCACACTGCCTTTTCTTTCCATCTTTCATGTACGCCTTCTGCAGAACTCATCAAATAATCATATAAAACATTTGTGGAAAGTGGAAGTTAGGTTCAGTAATCATTGCAGCAGACTGTGAAGGTGCCCAAATGAAAATGGTTAAACAACCTCTTTGTTAAAGCTTCTTGACAAGTGTTTTTTTTTATTCATTAGCATGTAGTTGAGAAATAAAGTCATCAAGTTAAGAATACATGAAAGGTCAATATTGTTTTCTCCCCCCATATTAACCCTTCATTGATTAAGCTAATTCACGTTTCCTGCGCTCAGCTCACTGGGGGAAAAGATCACAATGTTTCTCAGTTGACCTGGGCGCTTCCCCTGGGGTTTAGAATGCCAGTTCAATGAAGAGGGGCTCATGTCTACAGAACTAATTTTCACAATAATAGCAGCATATGCTTTGTATATTTAAGTCGACAGGGGTGGCAGCAGCCATATTCTTCAGAGTGGGATAGCCAGGTGCTTCATATTAAGCTCATGGAGTGGCAACAAATCATTTCACAGACAGAAATGAATGATCTGTCCATCTGGGGAACTTATTGCATTTATATGCTTTATGTACACAAAGATAAATAAGGTCTGGAAATCAAGTGCTTGGACTAAACCGCCTTTTATTTTTCTGTTAACAACTGCAGCTTATCACTGATGTAGACACTTGATAAATTATCAGTTTCAGCTGGTCAAGTGATAAGCGTATTTACCTAGTCATTTCAGATATTGTTTCATATTTTGTTTCATAAATTAGGTTTGATTATAGGCAGTTCTTTGATCCAGGACAAAAGCACTGTTTCTGTGTGTTCTTTGGTTGTGAACTTTTTGGAAAATTATTTTGGTAACGATAGATAAAACATGTCAGCTGTAGACTGAAAAAAGCCATTTAATTCTGTCTACTAAGAAAGTATTTTATTTTACTTAAAAATGCATTTTGACTAGAAAAATGTATTCTCAATATTAAGAAACCATTGTAAATATGATTACAAAACCAATTTTTTTATTGTATATATTGTATATTTTTACAGACAAAACAAAAAGAAAAAGACACTAGGTTCTTATAAAGAGATTAATAAGACATGTTCTTATAAGAATACTTCTACTAACCGAAAGTGCACTAACTGCACTGTCATTTAGCAAGACAGTTCAAAACAAATCTAAAACAAGATCCCCTTGCAGAGCAAGAAAAAAATCAAATTTATCATTTAAACTCAAAAGCTGTTAGAGGTTTCTTTTCACTTTCATGTAAATGGAAGAAAATATAACAAAGGTCCTATACAGCACTGGATGTTTGCAATGGAATATTATCATTTCTGTGTGGGAACTTCATTTCTGTGTGGGAAATTTCTCATACATGGAAAATGTTCATGCACACGGTAAAATCATCACCTTATTGACACATTCATATGCATTTGTTTTATCGGCTATACAAACTTAACTGATATTAAAGAATCTTACATTTTGAAGATTAAAATGGATTTAAATATATGATAATCTTTTCCTCTTTCATTGCTTGCCACAACACTCCAGCGATATGGATAAATGAGGTCTAATGTGAGGAAGAAAGCTAAAGAAAACAGACATTCTTTACCTGGTTACAAGGTGGATTTATGAGATGATTTTCAAATAAAAAGTTGACCACAATTGGCTTTTTAACTTATTAATTCCTATTAAAAACTAAACCTGCTACATTCTGAACAGACAAATGGGAGCTAGCAGATTCAGCTAACCTGGAATAAACACTCCCCAGCTCCTGAAAGTTGCAGTGACAGGCAAGCCTTCTATTATGGTAAGTGAGCTCCTCCTAATTACTATTCAATAAACTCCTGTTAAATTAACGACTCAATTGGATGCGCAGTAACATCTGCTCCATGCGCCAGGCCCTTGAATCGTACATCTTCCTAAATCTCACCATGCCTGACATCTTCTCTGCACAGTTCCCTGCCAGAGGACAAACTATTCTAGGTGTCACTTACAAAAACCACAACCTAAAGGTTCAGTTCCTGTGTGTTGAATAATTTGTGTGTACATTTCCAAGGAGTTTATCAGAGATTAGTATTCTGTACCTGTTATGCTAAATCATTGTAACAGCTTTTGAGTGAGTTGCATTCTGGGATTGCGTTTTAGGCTGATAAAGTGCCACTTTTCGTAGCAGAAGGCACCAATGCGCCTTTAAAATAGCCCTATAAATACTTGGCAAAATACAGATTGGTACAGCAGGCACTGAATTAAAAATCAATGGTGTTCTAAAAAAGAAAGTATCAGAACGGACAGATGCATGATACTAAAACACATTTCATGTATTTCTAAGTGGATACACTCTTTGCCTTTCAAAAAAACTATAAAAAACTCCTAATAGTGTGTGTATAAAAATGCAACTTTTTTCAGAACTGAAATCAGTAAGCATAGCAAGAAATAAAGTGCTGAGGATATTATTATAGGATTTTTAAGAATTGTGTTCTTGACCTGTGAATGATCCTCAGTTTTCAATTGCATCTCAACAGAAGGAGGTGAAAATGGAAATTTGAAGAATGTAGAACCAACGTTCACTTTAGTGCCTTTTGTATTCTAGCAGATTGGTCAAGGGAGAAACAGAAGATTGAGAGAAGAGAGACACACCAGGGGCCCACAGGTGCTTTCTGTGTCGTGAGTGATGCCTTTTGTCTGTCCCTGCATTTTCTGTAAAATCGCAACTGATCTGTGGTAACAGATTAGAAACCACATTTGTTGTCATGAGTGGAAATGCAAAGATAGGAACAATCCCTATTCCTTGAGTACTAGCATTAAAAAAAAGATTAGCCGATGTTTGGGAAACATGCTGCTAATTAGAAGCCACACTGTCACAAACACATAACAGAAAGCTAATTTTTGTTGATTCCATAAATCACCACAATGGAAAACCAGTCCCTTTTCCACTCTGCATTCCACAATGCTTTGACCTCATTCTTTTTTTCTCCACATTTTGCCACAAACAGAAAGCACATTCATCAAGCTTCCCATCCTCAGTCTTGTTCCGTACCTCATGAATAGGCTGCTCATCAATAACCCCGAGCCTCGTTGATCTGAAATTATTTTCTCCAGTTAAAGTCATATGCTCTGCAGCGGAGGTTTAGTTGAAGTATTTACGCCTACGAGAGAGGAGTGTATGTTTGTAAATAGCTACTGACACTCCGGGGTCAGTCCATTAATCTCAGGCAGATAAATCTCTCATTTTGAGTGTGCTGTGATTTTCAACACGGGGCTGAAGTGTTCAGGTGATGTGAGAGCTGCAGCTACACAAAGGAGATGGGGAAAACAAATGCTGCCTCTTGTGAGGACTTAAAGGGACAGGCATTGCTTTTCATAGCAGGAGCTTTTAAGGTCTATAGAGAATTCTACCCATGGCCACTTGCTATTGGCTCAGGCACAAAAGCAGCTCATTAATAATGCCTGTTTAAGGGGCAGGGCTAATTAGAATGTGTGAAGGATGTCTCCTCTTCCCTAGCAAGCACTACACATCAGTCATTCCATACTCACCTATTCACCTGTGATTTATATAAACAATCTTCTCACCCACTGCTTACATTGGACTGTTTCCAGACACATTGTAAAGGGGACAGACAGCTTGAAAGTAAACTGAAGCCAATCCTCTGGATATTTTTACTGTGTTGTCATTTTGTTCCAGCAATGGAACACAGGCTCAATGTCCACACACTTGCTACTCAAGACAGAGAGCAGAAGACTTAAAAATCGCAATAAAATAACAGCATAAGCATGTTGTTATAAGTGGAACAGATTTTTTTTATTACCAGTATCAAACTGAGCATCATACATTCTTTCTGCCTTGCTCCAGGTCCCTAAACATTTTCAATATTGCGCCTCTGCTTAGCACAACTAACCTATATATCAAGCTGGCTGCTGAAGGTCAAAGCCCCCTATATCACTACGAAACCGATCGATCCTCCAAAGCTTGTCCATATATTAAAAATGGCTAAATACTACAGTTAATCTCATAAACAGAGGGTCTCAATACGAATGGGAGGTCCAAGGGCACCATTTATTTCTCTGGTGTTCCGCACTGAGCTATGCGATTAAATTCATTGCAAAAATGATCAGGCACAATAACTCAGAAGCTGCTAATGCTGTGGCCAGCTTGAGCCAAGGTCATAATGCTGTGGAGGGACCTCCTCCTACAATGTCATAGTGTGGTATCCAGGAAATGGCCCTGCTGCAGTTTTGTAATGGCATTGATGATGGATGCAGAGAGCCGATTCCTATAGAGGCAATAATATCAGACTCCAGCCAGATATTGAGAACAGTATCTCTTTGGCATTCAGAAACAGTGGTAACTTGTATCCCAAAACAGAAACTATATCATAGTTGAGTCTAAGATTTTGAAGAGACTGCTGTGTTCCTTTTCTAAGATCTGGTTAATTTAGACGTTTACCTAGACAATGTCGAAAATTTTGAATGAATGGCTTAGAGTCTATAGTATTTTGTTCTTTTATAAAAAGAGATACAGAAGGTAACCAAAAATGCACTGGATATCCATTTGGTGCTGCAGAGAGGAATTTCCTGCATATGTAAGTTTCATGTTAAATTATTGCAGCTACAGATAGGAGAGAAGTCTGAAAATGTACACAACTTAATTAGGTCATTTTGAATTAAATCTAGAAGAACCTAAAAAAACTATTTTAAATATTTATATTTTTTCTGGCTTTAGTTTTCTATTTTTCTATACGGTGTAATAATTACAGCAATTTAAATATTTAGTTTTACCCCAGGTTGTTTTAACTATTAGCCTGAAAATGTGGCTTTACTAAACCTTAGATTCATTCAATGACTATTTCCCAAACAGAACAAAGGAAAAAGATCACATCAGAAGAAAGATTTTATGAAAAAGGTAATATTACAATTACATATCATTTTACAGGACCTCATGACAGAAATGAGCTTGAATAGAAAAGCACGCTGTCAATATTAACATATAAGTAGTAAATTAATACTAAGACCCTTTGTGCAACTGACACCTCAGTTTGTTGTTTAGAACATATTCAATATATATTGAGTGTTCCAATGATTCGATAAGTCTCTCTCCCAGCCTGAGGCACAGAGATTGAAGTTATTTCATCAGATATTTCTTTTGGATGTTTCATTTTCACAACAACAGTTTATGATAATTTAATTCTACTGCTTATTACAACAATATATTTGAATAACTTATTACTTAAGCAACCAAGCTAACAAAACAAACAAAAAGACATACTGAGCAATTCAAAAATTATACTTCATCAGAAATATGCAATATGCAAAGAAAGATGGAGATTGGGCATCTTCTGGGAAGGGGAGGGGGGGTCAGACGAGCTTGAAAAGTGCTCGACAGGGTGTTTGTAGAATGTGCTCCAGGCAACAAAAAAGACTATTTGGAACTACCAATAGTAAAGGCGTGTCTTGATTTGGAATAGAAGGCATTTGTATTCTTTGCCTGAAAAAAAGCCAAGTGGAAAAAAATGATAGGAAAATGTTAGTTACTCTTGATTTTGTGCTTATCACTTAAAAGTGAAGTGTATACATTACAAGTTGCCCTGGATACAGGTGTCCACTGAGAAAAAAACATTTGTTTTGCCTCTGTATAATCTACTTGTCAGAAGACGCATTCAAACAAAGTTCTGTTCTGTCACTCTGTTATGCCAAGACACTGGTTTGCATATTTAAAAAGCAACTCTTTTTTCAAGCTGAAGCTACAGTAAATGAACTAAACGGACTTACTCCAGTACAATTCGGATTCTCAGAGAGGCTCTATCATTTGGGCCTGCAGTATACAGACATAAGTCTCACATACAGAAAGGGGAAGTGTCAGAGATCTGTCCCTGTTTTACTGCCTTCGCAAAGAAGCTCATCTGTTCTCGTAGATGCAGGTGATTGGGCTGGTGCCAGTCTGCTGTCCCGAGGCTGCATGGTGCCTGTTTGTTTTTCCAATATTTCTTCAGTCGCAGCTGAGGGGCTTTTTTTTATTCCTGCCTGGGGAGGACTGTTGCTGTAAAATTAGAAAACAACTGTCAGATTTTGAGCGGTGATAAATGTACCGTCTGACTGGAAGCTGCTTGTTATCTCTGTCCCTGCCTGGACAGGGGGGGGTATTGTGATTGTGTGCGCACTTGGCATTTCGAGCAGCAGAGGAACCAGAGCAGAGAAAAAGGAAGTGAGATTTCTTTTCCCGATGTCTGTCTGCTGGGTTTGCGCAGAGCTGCATTTCTTTTGCCTCTCTCAAATTTGACATGAATGATGAGATTTATTTTTTCTTTTTCTCATCCTCCCCATGTTACAGACGTCTACCTGGGAAATCTCATTGAACCAGATTGCATTTGTATGTTATTGATGGGAGTAAGGCCTTCAACAGATGTTTCAAAGAGGAATCTTTAGTTCTAGCTCTAAGATTAAGCAGGGGTCTTTTTTGCAAATCTTATAAGAGGAAATTGGAGATAGTAAAATTACATTGAAAATCATCAATCCTGTCGGAACCCATCAATATGGTAATGTCTAAGTCACTTGTGTACTCAAAGTGAAGAGTGATTTGAGGGCAGGATGTGATGGTGTATCAGGATCCAGTACTCGGAAACTCACTGCGACGTTTTGTTTGTACTGTAACTTGCATCATGGACATGTTTCTACTACATTTCTAGCCATTTATCTTTCTGATTAATTTTTAGATTCTTTTCTGCAAATCTTGAAGACTTGCTTGGAATTCTTCTATGTAGCATATTTCCATGGCAAACAATTTAGGCAATAATGCTGAACAATAAAGATATGCTACCCTAAAAACAGAAATTGATAGGAATTTGAAAATATCGACTATTTTATTAAATGAAACTGAAACATTTTTACATCTTATTTAATAGAAGAGTCTGTATCTTACCTTATTCAAGGTTTTTGAGAGTAGTAGAGTGATTTCTCTGAAGCAGGCTTAGTTCTGCTGAGAAAGAGACTGGCAAACTCGTTTGTCTTGTGCCCTGGGCTGGACTTGCACCCACTTTGTCAGAACCGAAAGGTTTCCCTTCAGGGAAGCTATATCTACACAAGGTATCACTCTGTAGTTTACAAACCCACAATTCACAGCAAAAAGTGGGAATAGAGAATGCCAGGCCAGAAGAAAAAGGATGATAGTTGGAAGACACTTAAGAAGTATATCAAACAATACTACCATTTTAAGAAGCAGTTTGTAGATTTTTTTTCAACCTTATCAGACTGATATTACTTGACTCTTGTAGTGTACAGTATATTTCCTATGTTCCATTCTGACTTGACCTTCAGAGAGGTGTGAGGTGTGACTTTACTTGGAAAGGGGTTCAATAAAATTAGAATAATTGGAGACAAATTCATTACAATTACCAGGCGCAAAGAAACTTTTCAATGTAAAGATAACATTCAATAGAAATGAGAAGAAAATGAGAAAGGTAGCCCCGCTGGTCTAATTACTGTACACACTATATTTACTCCTTCCTTACACAGGTGTAAAATCTGAAATTAGAAAGGTGTGGGCTTCCGCCACAGGCAGATAATGGCTTGTGGGTGCTGCTACTCCATCTTCTCTCAATGAATCATAACAAATGGATGAGGTTCAGTGGTGATGTCATCAGCAGCTTAGGAGCTCTTTCCTGGGAGGAAGACACTCATCCATCATCAGCACTTAAAAGCAACTGCTATTTTTTTTCCTTTTTTCCTGCTGAGCCTGTCGCTTTCTGTTTCTCGGCAAAGATGTCTCGCTTGGCTGCCCTTCGCTACCATTCCATTTTCAACACCTTTACCCACCCCCACTCCTGCTCTCTGGTTTAGCTACGCGCTGGTTCTTTTCTACTTAGGAAAGGCACCAAAGGGACAGAACTAAATTATGTCCAATAAGCACACAGTATACCTGCTTCAATAATTTCATGACTAGTAATGAGTCAAAAATAAAACACCTGGGAATGACAGATATCCCATTTTATTGTTTTAATATTGTAAAATATGAAAAACAGTTCTGAAACAAATACGTATTGATATTACTGCTCAATCTAATCTAATCTAATTGGTTTGACTGATTTAGCAGTAAAAATTACATATCTGAGTAACACGCGTTTCAGGATATTTTTATGCTGCTCAGAAAACACAAAGAGGTGGACAATGTTAACACATTGCATGTCGAGAAACCTCATTCGCACGCGCCACAAAGGTCACAGGAATTTACGGATTTGCCATATGAATAATGAGGTGAATGTGGGCAACAGATTCACATGTAAAGCCCGGCAGTAGGTTATTGTGCCAGGAGCATGTGTCACATGGGTCTTCATGCACATTTTTTTCCATCTTTGATTCCGAGGAGATACAATTCACCCAGTGAGAAGCCATTTAAACACTGGTTTCACTGACAGCAATGGATTGCCGAGAGTAACACCTAGGCATGAAGAAAAGATGGTACTGTATGTATGCTGCCAGATAGGGTACCAGCATTTGAGTTTGGAAGATCATACTCCCACTATATGACTATTAGAAAACTGTATGAGTCTTACTGACACAGGCAGTAGAAGGACATGTTATTTGTTCAGCTCACCCCAGGGCAAGGGTCTTGAACTTTAGTCTGGGCCAACTTCAATCAAGTTAGTTTTAAAGGTTTCTGAGCACAATTCTGGTTCCAGATGTTTTCAGAATTGCTTAAATTAGTATTTGGGGTTAAAAAAAGTATTTGGAAATGAACAATTTTATGGTTAGCTATTGTACTGACTGCACTGGGACTCCCCAGAACCATGGTGAGGATGCCTGCTCTAGAGTAAACACTCTACCTGTCTTCCCTGTAAGAAACCTGATCAGAGGGACTGGAAAGGTGTGTGCTACCAGCATGCCTAACCAAAATCAGACACCCTTTTCATGTCTTTAGAGGATGTGGGAAAAAGATGGGCCTACTTGGGATCATAGAACCATTTTTACCATCAAACATGTGAGCTCTATGCCTGTGTGTCTGCCAGCAACAGAACAGAGCTTTCCAAATCAACTTTTTAAATTGATATACTGCACAGTACTGTAACACTGATCAAGCACATTTGGTATGAATGAAGACAATGGAGGTAATGTAGTCTTTTGTTGTCTTGCAGCTGAACAGGATATTTCATACATTCATTAAGTCATTTCAGTGTGAGGTATGATGTGCTTTGCCACTCATGTGCATCATGTAATCATAATGCTTTATGTACTTTTTGACTGATAAACATGTATCACTGTCGATAAATACCATACATTGTTACATTGTTAATGTTTTCATGGTACAAGATATTGTGATTTCAAAAAAAGATGAGTAGAAAAAAACAGCAGAAAACACATCTACAGAACTACTTTTCATAAAAAAGTTTCAAAACATACATTGCAGGATTATGGGTAAATTGAACAGATGACTAAAGACTTTTTATTTTCCTTATTGAATTAAGTCATTACATTCAAAATAATTATTGCCTTGTTAAATACATTATACAGCTGATAAATATACAGTAGTTCTGCAGTGAAGCAATACTGTGAAACAGTTTTGCACTCAACTTTTACAGCGTTAAGAAAAGTATTTTATAATGACTGATCTTGATATTTATATGTAATAAACAATATATAGGCTTTATATTAAAAACTAAAAAAAATCCTACAAGTCCAAGCTTATTACAGCAATTACAACAATATTGCTGTTGGATGTACTAGCAAATTTGTATTGCAGAACAACCAATAACGGCACATTCAAGTAAGATAATTAACAGGATGTAAAGACTTTTTAATTTTTTTTAAATACATAACATTCTAAATTTCTAATAACTTGAGACTATTTTTCTTTTAAGTACTTAGCGATACTAACGTTTTAAAATGACGAAAATGAACATTGATGGGAAGCCTTTCTTAAAAGGGGGGAATTTGAAGTGCAATGTATAATAATTTAATTAAGCTTTAAAATTAACAATATTCAAAATACAGTACGAAAATACGGCGGGAAAATACATTAAAATGTCGAAACGGTGAAGAACTGAGAAGAATAAAACATTAGTTATGAGAGTTAATCATAGGATAAGCTTATTTAAAATAAAAATGTTTTAATTTTCCGATGAAGGCATTCCGATTACATCACTGTAAATGACTGTGTGCAAGATAAAAAAAAACTGCCATGAACTCTTTACTCATAAAATTTCGCTTTTAACAGTTACGCGAAAATAGGCAAACTACACTTCGGAGTCTGAGCAGAAACGTTTTTGCGAAGCTGAACAAAGACTAATACCCGATCAATCTGTAAATGAAAGCAACGGAAAACGTAAAGTTTTAAATTACTAGCATTTCCTTCCCTAGCATGACTATGCCTGGCAAAATAAAGCTAAAAACGTTTAAAGCTAAAGGAAGACACCGAACAGGAATGTTCAGTGAACAAGCATGTCACTTGTTTTTTATATCCGTGTGAACATTACAAATATTGCTGCTTTTATTAAATTTAAAGTCAAATGAATCATATAGTTAATTAAATAAAATTAAGCAAAGCTGTGAAGTGCTCTAGAAAGTGTATTTCATTGTGTGAAAATGAAGGTACAGTATACTGTAGCACATTTTAAGATAGTTCCACATAGAATTCATAGAATTGCTACGGACTACCCGACTGCTTGGAGAACTGGCTACTTGGAATTAAATAAATAACAGGAGGCCAAAGTATACAATTTTCTTAAAACGAGATTTATTGAAGTCCTGTCTGTGAAATCACTGCAGTGTGAAAAGTTTAATTTATAGATTAGATTATTGAGTCGTGCCCCGCTTCATTTTTCATTAGAGAAATAGAGGATTGAGCGTCTTGACCTTGTAATCTGTGTGTATTAAACAAGAACTATAGTTGATTCATACTAATTAGATAGATGTCTTTTTAGACTATAATAAAATTATGTCCTGTTTTTGTATTTTTGGATTAAAAGTAACCGAGGAATATATATATAAAAAAACTTTGATCGCAATAACAGAGTTAACTGGCATTTTTCAGGATTTTTTCTTAGGATG